GTGCCGGACCCAAAGCACGGCAGAGGTTTTAGATGGGCCTCGAACCCGACCAAGGTGGCTAGTTCATTCCACACTGCCAATTKGTACTGAAAATGCTTGGCATTCTCAGGGAGCTGATCAACGCATTGATTTGATCCGCTGTACTTTTGAGTGCCGTGCAGTAAGGCTGTCGTTAGCAGGTACCCACGTTAAACAGTACGTCGACATACACAAAGAAGGTTCGACGTTGAGAAGCTGCAATCACAACAGACAGCCAAACGATTTTCTGCGCGGCTTGCACTGCTGCTCTCTGAGAGCACTCGTCAACAACTCGGTATAAGGGAAGYATGGGACGGCATTTCAAGCCCCTTATCTACAGCTCCAACACAGCTGACCGATGCCCAGAGCGCATTAATATGGCAGTGAATGTATAACGGTAGTAGAAGGCGAACTCGATTCCCCAATCGATGGCGATCTAGCAGACCGACCGACCGATAAAGTTCTATCGAGCGAATTATGTGAAAGATTAAAGCCCACCGTCAATAATTATCAGTGTGGCTTTAGACTTTTCAAATCAACAGCTGACCAGATATTCACCATGCGCCAAGTCTTGGAAAAGACCTGTGAAAGGAGAATCGCCAACACCACCTCTTCGTTGATTTCAAAGCTGCTTTCGACAGCACGAAAAGGGGCTGCGTTTATGTAGCGATGTTTGAATTTGGTATCCCCGCAAAACTAATACGGCTGTGTAAACTTACGTTGAGTAAAACCAAAAGCTCTGTCAGGATCGAAAAGGACCTCTCTGAGCCGAGCTTCATAACTTTGAAGATGCCGATCAGATCGTCTATCTGGGAACCAGCGTAAACACTAACAGCAATTTCAGCGTGGACATCCAACACAGGATAACTCTTGTCAGYAGGTTCTACTTCAGACTGAGAAAGCAAATGAGAAGTAAAGTCCTCTATCGACGAACAGAAACCAAACTCTATAAGTCACACATTCGATGGAACGATGAGCTATATGAGATATGCGAATCATTGACATAGTTCAGCGAGCAATAAATTCGAAGCTGGTTTTTAAACTAAACGCAATGTCGAAAGTAGCTCGTTCATTATAAGCAAGATTTGAAGTATGGTATTCTCTAATGCCACCGCGGTTAAGCAACGGATCAGTAACGAGTTGCTATTCAAATTTAAAATGAAGAACATGAGTGCAGCGCACAGACAGCGAACTGTAGCATTGTCAGAAACTGAAGCGGAGCTAACATTCGTAGTGAGCGCAATGCAAGAAGCGATTTGGTTGCATCGGCTAAAGTCTGAACTAATTCATGGTGATACAAAAGGTATAAAAATGTACTGTTCATGTCAAATAGTTTGGAACAACAATTTTTCTTCCTGCACTAATCATATGGACATAAAAGAGAAATTTATACGCGGAAAGTTCCTGGATAAGTCGTTGCAGCTGAGATAAATTTCAAGAAACGAAATATCAACAAATGGCTTAAAAAATATTGAATTTATTAATGTTAAATTAGGCTTAAAATACAGTCAGGTAACATATTTTGAATCGAGAAGTTTTCGCATGTGCTGTATTGCAACCTATCCACTCGCGGACGATTGAAGAGCTGTGCTAACTTCATGAATTTTTTAGCATATACAACAATTTCGGTGTTATTATTTCAAATGCGTAATTATTATACAAGTATAGTGTATCGAATGGGCAGATATAAGTTTTCCGCCTGGTGTTTAAAGATCGACAAGATTATGAGTAAAACTATAAAATTTATTATGTTGGCAGTAACTCATTACAATAAGTCAATGCACTCCGCTATCAACAGGAGACTCGTTGATGTTGTTCAAGCACAACCCAATGAACCGCACGAGATTATACGAAACAAAATCAGGGATGCCCACATCGCACTCAGAGCCAGAGAAAATACCTCTCGGCAAAACCGGGTTTTCAAAGTTGGTGAAAAAGTTTGGTTAAGTCCACCCAAAGACTTGAGAATAAGCTGACACCTTTAAGCGAGCCGTGTACCATTCAAAGGAACTTGGGWACCACGGGCCTTTGTAGAGGGAGAGTGGTTCACAAGCATAACCTAATGTGACGTCGTCAATATTGTCAAATGAATAAGCTCTTGAGCGCGGCTACAAATCACCTCCGAGAATCGTTAAGTGTACATCATAGGGCGACCAGGAGTTTAGTTTTTCTAGAATCCCTATTGGAATAGAGATTAATACAACAGTATGAAAATCAGTTTAAGATTCGTAATTCGACGCCGGTCATTTAAAAGAGACATTGCCAGGGAGAAATATAATGTTTATGAGCGTCAAAATTTAATGGTTACTATAACTCCGTTTCTCCCGTGAAAAGATCACATTTTTCCCCGACTTTCACAAGAACTTCGTATTCTGGATGAATAACAACGTAGTGGCAGAGGAATTATATCATTTTTCTAAAATCTAGAATTGTTGGCTTGCACAATGCACTTCGGAATACAACCGAGGAACTTTGTGGTCAAAGGTACTGTAGTCTGGGTCCATGACACACACATAATTACTTTCGTTCGAACTGCAATGAATGAGGCTATGTTAATAATGTCAAGGCATGTAGTGCAGGTCCGTCCAAGCTCGTGTATACTGGGTAACGCTAAAAGGCCTGCGGCTTTCACGGTCTTACAACTATTGGATGATTTTTGGCTTTGAACTGGTTTTGAGTTGGAGAAAATTTTTATTTGGATTTGGTAGAACTCTGGGCTGTTGGCGGCGGCATTCTGGCACCTGAATATTTTGAAACGTTAGAAATGACTGATGGGCTAATATTGCAACCACCCCCATTCCGTTAAAACCCTGGCAGGTTCCAGAGGACGTTCCAAGATGCAAGAGAACTAGTAAAGGGTGGGGCCTTCATACGCGACGCAAGGCAGCTTTAGCGAGGAAGCTAAAGTCAGACCGTCGATTGGCGGCCAAATTGTGGAACGCTACGGTGGAAAGCAGGTTGGTCAGGTATCCGCTGTCTTTTAATTCGCTGAACTAAATGTCGTCGTATACCTCGTACAGCTCATCGTTCTATCGAATGCGATATTCGCCGTGGCCAACGCGCAAAGGACCATAAATCTTTCGCATAACTTTTCTTTCGAAAACTCACAACGTCGACTCATTCGTTGTTGACATGGTCCAAGCCTCTGCACCATATAGCAGGACGGGAATTATGAGTGACTTATAGAGTTTGGTTTTTGTTTGTCGAGAGAGGACTTTGCTTCTCAATTGCYTACTCAGTCCGAAGTAGCACCAAGGCAAGAGTTATCCTGCGTTGGATTTCTAGGCTGACATTGTTGGTAGTGTTTACGCTGGTTCCAAGGTAGACGAAACTATCTACAACTTCAAACCTATGACTGTCAACAGTGACGTGAGAGCCAAGTCGTGCGAATTACGAAACAATTTTAGATGACCGGCTCTTTAGAGTGTCAGAATAAAATGTGTCTTTATTTCAAAGATTTTCTTGCTTTTATAGTTTTACAAAAATGCTTATCTTCTAATTTGCAAAAATTCTTATCTGTGGGAAAATTCCACAGTGCTGCTTATCCTTTATTACTATCATGTTATAGTTTTACAAAAATGCTTATCTTCTAATTTACAAAAATTCTTATCTGTGGGAGAATTCCACAGTGCTGCTTATGCCTTATTTGCATTCAATATTTATTTAGGATCAGTGCTTCTTCTCATATCTTAATTTTACATATATTCTGGTTTTCTTAAATAAATGTATTTTCTTATCTACCAGACTATCTTCACACCATCTGTGTTTGCTGTTGTTCTTGGGTTAGCATGGGATGTAACTCGCGTGCGACGACTGTTTGTTTGATGACAGGACAATCCAGCAGATATTGTTTCCAGAGGAAGCACTCATTAGAACTCACAACTTCAATTTAGATTAATGGATCTGAATTCTTATACGAAGATGAAAGAAAATGGCCTGATGGAAAAAGTAACGACGTTGACATGGAAATCGTTACTGCAGAAATGCGTAAATCAGTATTTAACATAATTATAAACAATAATTATCTTCTTGAAGCGATTGAAAGTTACAGTACTCATACTCCTGAAGTGCGGACGGATGCTACGTTTTTACACTAGAATTAAAATGGATAACAAGAAAATGGTAGATGGAGCACTTACTCCTGATGAACTACGTCGCGTTTTGCTATGCATTGTTTGGAACGTTCAGCAACAGCATTACGCTGCAGACATTCGATTGTTGCAGCGAAATAAAATGACAAATGGCATACTGCGAAATTTGAATCCGTTCTTGGAAGTAACTCAAGGATTTGAACTGCTATAAGTTGGAGATATACTTGAACTGGCCAATCTTACAAAAAGCCAGAAACATCCTACTAAGTAAATATGGATTTGTTATGCGATATGCTCAATATCTACATATTAAAAACTACCACCTAAAGCGCTGATGGCTTTAATTCGCTTACAATTCTGGATCGTCAATGCTCGTGATCTCACTAGACGTATTGTCCGATCATGTACTCATTGCGTTCGTTAAAAACAGAAATTTATGCAAAATATGATGGATAATCTACCCGTTGAGCGGTTAACATTAACACGCCCATTTTCTCGTTGCGGCGTCGATTTCTGTAGACCTGTCAACATCTATCTTCCCATCAGAGGCAAGGTACCCTATAAAGCTTATGTTGCCAGATTTGTTTGCTTCGCTATAAAGGCTGTCCACATCGAAGCCGTTTCTGACATATCCACAGATTCATTTTTGGAATCACTCAAACGAATGATTGGAAGAAGATGTTTTCCATCAGATATTTATTCTGATAATGAAACTAGTTATTCAGGTGTTTTAAATTTAGTTACTCATATATAAGAGCACTGACTCAATTGTACTAACATTAGTATTATAAATTGTACGTGCATAATGGGTCTCATGCATAAAACGTGAGCTTTTGCTCTAACTCGATTTTTTGAGTAAAAGGCGCTTGTCGTATGCATAAAAAAATTTAGTATATTTGCTTTTACTCACTGCTCAGGTTTGATCTCGTCTCGCTCAGTTCGAACTAAGTTCGAACAAGTTCGATGAGCTTGTGMTCACTTTCATATGCATAAAAACAAGCTTTTGCTCTTTTTTGTGAGCTCTTGCTCAAATTTTGTTGAGCATGCCTATAGTTGACTCGCGTACACTAAAAAGGAATCATGGCTGAATATTTTGTGCCACAAAGAAATACAAAATATTATCAAYAGCGTAAAACAAATTTAGCAAGTGAGGATAAAAAATTATACAGGTTTATATTCTTAGTTAATAATTTTTTTATATAATTACTAATAAAATGAAAATACATAGGTTTRATGACAGTAGCATCAGCTGGTTGGCTAATTATTTCTTTGAGGATTCAGAAGAAACACGTGGTGGTGCCCTCAATAACATTGATAAAATTCGACTGTATTTAAGATTTTGTGCAGATCCTGGATTTCAAAATGGTATATCTRCAGATATTGGTGTCCATCAATCAACTGTGTCCCGAACTATTGCGGAGGTTGCGAAACTTATATCTTCCAAAGCAAGCGRGTGGATAAAATTCCCGAAAGATGGAGATGAAATAAAAGATGCTCAAAGGAAATGGCAAGCAAATTATTGCTTTCCATTTGCAATTGGAGTGATTGATTGTACTCATATAAAAATAAAAAAACCCACAAATCAAAGCGATGAGTATATTTGTAGAAAAGGCTTCCACTCTATAAATGTGCAGGCAACTTGTGATGGAAAAGAACTTTTTACAAGCGTTGATATATCCTGGCCTGGTTCAGTTCATGACTCACGCATCTTACGAAACAGCGAGGTATGTAGVATAATGCAAAATGCAACGAACGATGCATTACTTCTCGGTGATGAGGGCTATGGAATATGTCCATGGCT